GAAGTCCATTTACTTCCGCAGTACTTTGTGGGCTTCGTGGGTTTGTTTTTTGACGAAACGTTGTATAGGGTTGAATGTTTTTTCTGCTGAAACTGGTTTAAGTACTCGCGCACCTGCAATGTATTTAAAGAATTATTTTATGTTATTATTTATGCAATGCTCTCGGCGTGAGTCTATAGAGCTCTTTAATGTTAGTTTGTTTTTAAATCTTGTTTTATGCCATTTCATACAAGCTATAATTAAACATGTCACATATAAAACGTTAATCTTTACACTACAGGAGGCGGAAACTGTTTGGTGGATCAAGGTAAGCATGCGAGTCCTTGCAGCGTGACCAAAATGCTATACTGTTGTACTGACTAACCATACAGTTGAAAATGGATTGTTCAAAAATAGAAGAATATAGAAGCTGAAAAAGACTAATAAACTTAAAAAGGGTATGGAAGTATGAACTAGTACGTGAAAATTCTATGACTTAAACTATGTCAAAACGCCATTTATAATAAATTACTGTTTCAAGCTGTAAACAGCATGTTCCCGTATTTGTGATGTATTTGAAAAGTATTCTTACTCGTTAGAACCCTCGAAACGCTGCATTTAATCGTCTTCATTTGTAGCAGACACCAACTTTGGCCTTCCTGACAATACCCGCGTTTCTATGTTCTGAGTCACAGATTTGGGAGGAGCAAATACTCTGTCACATGACACGAGCATTGCCTGCATCATTACACACATTTCCTCCCTGCAAATGAAAGGAAAACAGCATTGGTAAGTTTAAAATTTACCTATAATTGAAGCAGAATGATATTTTGTTTTATTACATGTTGTACTTGTATAAAACTGACGGAGTTTTCTTCATCGAGATGTTCATATTCTATTTTCGAGAGAATTTAAATGATTTGAGCAACAGTATATAAATAACACGGGGTTTTGGGGAACAGAAAAATTCACCCCGAGGAAAAATACTGACCCGGGGCGGCCGAGGGAAACATTTATTTACGGGGGATATTTTTTTACTTTTTATTTCAAAAACCCGGGTTTTATTTTTTATTCCCCCGAAAAAAAATACTCGTTTAATCAAAATTTTTAAAACAAAATCAATTTTAAAAAAAAAACCAAGAGTAAAAATGATAACAAAAACTGCCCCTTACCTTTCAAGTTTTTAATTTATTTGGGCCAATTGGGAATTTTTTTTTTCTTTTTTTTTTAGAAATGATGTATTTTACAAATCAAAAAACATACAAAAAGCTGGGTTTATTTAAGAATAAAACACTAACCCATTTACAGGGTTATATGGGGGAAATCTACCCTTCTTTTTCCAAATTTATTTTTAGCAGGGTTTTTTAAAAAAACCCATTTTCCCATGTCTTCCACCTCAGTAACTTTCATGTTTAAAAATTTTAAAAATTCCTTTTTGCATTTTAAGTCCTGTTTCCATTTTGAAAATTTAATTTATTTACTTTGCAAACTTCCTTTGAAAACGAGTTCATTTTTACTATTCAAAAAAAAATAATTTTATACACAAAAAGCAACCAGGGTGGAATTTACAAAAATTTTAGGGGGTTTCATAAATTTCCAAAAAAAATTGTTTGTCCTTGGGGGTTTTTAACGACAAAAAAGAAATTAATCGAAAAAAAAATGGGGCCTTTTTATTTCATTTTATTTAAAAAAAACCCCAGGGCCCAAATTTTTATACTTTAAAAAATACTTTACCTAAACAACAAATTCTTAGTCAGTTTACCTTCTTAACAGTAAAAAAACCCCCCAGGGGCCTAGGGAAATTAGAAATTTACAAAAAATTTTGGGGGAAATAAAATTGCTGTAGAAATGCAGTTCAAATAAATTAATGAAAACTATCATTTTTTTCTAGACAGTAAATGCCATATACCCATTGATACTGCTTAACAGCAGGCCTGTGGATAATTTTGAAATAACGGTATACCCGGTATGTATTTTGAATAGTGTTTTGGCCACACTTAACTTAAAGTTATCATACAATTCAATTCTGTATTCATTTGCAAACATTTTTAAATGAATATTAACAATTAACAAAACAACAAGAGCTCATCAAATATATGTAAACAATAATAAATGCACAATAAAGGTGACACTAATTTGATAAATTATAAGTTTTTTTCCCGTTTTGAGCGTATTTGTTTATTCTGTTTTACACTGTTACAAATAAGATCAAGTCTTATTTGACAACCGATAAAATAGTTTTACAAAGGAACGATTACTTAATCAATTTAGCCTGATATTTAAAGTTTACTTTCCTTCCAATTTCTATGAATGTACATGATAATATTTCTTTAACGTTTTAGTTCTAAAGTATGTCGAGTATGAATACTTGGTAACCATGGATACTATGAAAGCGCGTGCATTTGTAGGGTCATGTGACATAAAGGCGACGAAAGTATTTAAAAATTCATAGTGAACATTAAATATATAACAAACATCTAATCTTTCCAATTACGTGTTGATTGAATTTTAATTTTAAGCAGATTTCCCCCACCCCCTGCTAAAACACATTTGAACATTTTAAAAAGTATTTTTGACATCTACATTATTTTTAAAAAACAGTCCAGATATCAATGCGCCTATACCACGTGACTTTTTTGTGATCTGCGTTGGTCGAAAAGAGGTCCAGGCATAGTTTCCTTCCATAACCTTTTTTGACATTTCATTATTTTAATGAGAAAGTGTAGAGCCCGCTCATTTAAGTGAGGAACTCATACGTACGATATAATTACAGTCAAACATGTGAACAAAGGTCGCCCAAGGGAGATACTGAACATGTCGTTAATATACAAGTTGTTTTTATTTGAAGGCTAGTCGGTTTTATTCAATCAAAAAGGGTTGGCGAAGATTGACATTTATTTACACGGTGATTTTTATTCTGAGGTGGTCTTAATCACAAGTTTGACTGTATCGACAATGGGGCTCTTTATTATTCAAAGGTCAAAATTGCGATACAATAGTTGTATACATTCGTGCGAAATTATTATCATACCATAAAATCCATACCATACAGAGTGTTAATGTTACTACAGGTGTTATATTATATGTTATTTTGGTTTTGGAGTGATATATGTGGATATATTACCTTTCAAGATTTTATATATAACGGCTCGGGTGATATTTTATCTTAATAATAATAAATACCACATTTATATAGCGCCCTTTCATTAAAATGTTCAAAGGCGCTTTACATCAATCATATATGTCTAAAACAATATAAATGAACAGGATTATGAACATTAAAAATATTTTGCATTAACTAATTAAAAGTATAAATTATGGAATTATTTTTACATATTAATACAATATAACTTAAAGATCCTTAAAACTCACTTTACAATATTATTGTCATACATTAAAATTGTCTTCAATATATAAATGTGTAAGAAATAATGTGCCTTTTGACATAAACTCATAAATAAATATTAAAAGCTACTTTAAATGCATATTGATGATTTCATTGTTTTGTTGTCATACTTTACAACAGAAAATATATGAACGATTGATAAAAGAATGAATACAGCGACATCAGACTAAAAGAATATTGAACCTAACGAACCTGGATAGCATGAGTACTGCTACACCAAGGTCCAGTAATATATCCACATATATCACTCCAAAACCAAAATGATAATTGTATTACCCTTCCCCTGCCGAGTTAAGACGATTTTAAAATAAATCATTGCTACTTCAAATGAAACGTCGAAATAAGATTCCCTTTAGGGTACCCCATCATCAATACATGACGTCACATAAATACATGACGTATTTTCTTTCGGACCTAACGAATGTAAACAAGAGAAAAGGAGTAGTCTGTTGAACGCACATTTTTGGAATTAATATTAAGCTTTCACAAGGTCATATTTGTTTTCAATACTGATGAGAATATGTATGATTACTCTATTTTGGTAAATATTTATCATTTGACAGTTAAAACGTGCTTGTAAATCGGAATTTACATCGCGTAAAATTAAACCGTACGCGCATCGCCACAGCGCATGTTGTTTAGAACGTGAGGTACCCAACGGGGAAATTTAGTGTGTATATTAATTACCCGTCCGGCTCGGTAATATCAATTTCTTTCGGGTGATCAATATCCAATCAAAAAGGCGGAAAAAATCTGGAAGGGTAATAAACTGGTATAAATCTGTAAATGACCATACCTTAAGGGTGATTTGTATTTACATGATTGACCTTGCATTTAGAAAACTGCAATTTATAACAAAGTGAAAGTAAATGTCCGCTATTGTAAACATTGTAGACAGATACCTTAAGGCAAAATTGGATAAGCAACAGCCGTAGTCAGTTCGGTACTAATTGTCCCTGGCACTTTCCTTTTTATTCAGTATTTTGAGCAGAAAATAAGACCCAATTACCTCTAAGTTATTCATCAGACAAGGATTGTATCTCATAGGCTATCTACTGTCCATGGGCAATGTTCCTTCTAAATAAAATAAACCAGGACTTATTCCTTCTCATGTTATCGTATAAACAAGGTTAAGAGGCCAGTATTTAAGATAAATGTTGCATGTAAAAGTAAGTTGTTAAGTTTTCAAAAATTCATAATATATGTAGTGTATTCTGATTGGTTAATCATCTCGTGGCCAGGTCTTTGTAACTCGTGGCCACGACAGAGTAACTCGTGGCCACGACATAGTATCTCGTTGTCACGACTTAGTAACTCGTGGCCACGACTTAGCTATCTCGTGGCCACGACTAAGTAACTCGTGGCCACGACATAGCAGCTCGTGGCCACGACATAGAATCTCGTGCGCACGGGATAAATAAACACACACACACAAACTGTATAAATCGGTGTATAGAAATGAATAAGACGTTTTGAAGTTCATTCTTTTTGGTGAAAAGGCGTTTAATCAATCAAGCGCCTTGTCCGATATATACCGGATAACGATATTTAGCATGGTTAGTGTGTTGCCCCATCTCACTCAATAAGGTGTAAAAAAACATCTGAACGCAGGATTACCCAATACAATATTTATTTAAAGCTTTTTCTTTCAATGGCAGTTTGAGAGATCAATAGCTTTTAGTGACGGCTGTATACAAGTTTCCTTGGCAAGCTCGCAACTGGAATAAATATAATAAAAATAAATCAGATATACCTGTATAAAAAAAAACCATTCTGGCACGCTTCACACTATTTCCCTATCAAGTGAATTATTACAGATTATAACAGAATTATGCAGAGCATGACAAACGAATGTTTGCGTGTCGTAGGACGTCAGATAAGACAAAAATAACCGAATGAGTTCAAGAAAATTACTTAGAACTACGCTAAATAAGTTATCTATAATAAAATACCGGTAACGTTAGAAAGAGCTTGCATAAGAATGCACGATTTATCTTTCAAGTGCTTTGTAGGCCACTAGAATTTAATGATTTTGAAATATGAACCGTGCATCAATCAATCAATCAATCAATCAATCAACCAACAAGCCAAGTTATCGATCAATCAATCATTCAATCAATCAGAGATCGGGTAATAAGGCAATGCCGACAACATTTGAAATACATTTGTACAATGTTTGTTCGAGAAAGTAAAGGAAATGATGACAAGAAACATTTTTTTTGTTTACTGAAAAGTTGTAAATATATATAATAATGTAAATGAATCGCTCATCGAAGTTACATTACTTCACACGGAAATTACGCAATCATCACCCACTAAGTATTTATTTCCAATTATAAATGAAATATTGAGAAATATTGATGAAATAATTTGTATATTTTAACTTTGCGTAATATGTTAACTGTAAACAATTATTTTTTAACTCAGTGAAACATATTTTATGTATTTTCACTGGTATGTTTTAACTCAATTTAGCCAAATACAAAATTGCAGGGGAAGTGTTTCGAATCGTAAGGTCAAAAAAGCGGAAAAGTATATAATAAACAGAAAATTCAAGTTTTTTTCTATAGATACGGGATTTATTTTATAATCATGGCATGATAATCGTCATATTTCACTCGTGTCTACCGCCACTCATGAAATATATTTTTTTTCCATATAACTCGATGAAAATATATTCCGTATTTATAGAAAAAAACTTGAATGTCCTCAACAGTATGTATTGAATAAAATATTTACTGATTGACATAACGTCTGCCATCGGAACCACAAATAATCTCTATACCAAGTGAATCACAGTCCATAGAATTCACGTATGTGCAAAGAAAAGACGAATGTAATGGATCTGTTGTGACGTGAGGTGTCGTGTGGGTACTATCCGAACCGGAAGTGACGGTAGATGTCGTCTGCTGTGACAAACTCTCCGGACCGGAAGTGACTGCATGTGTCGTCTGCTTTGACCAAATCTCTGGACCGGAAGTGACTATAGGTGTCGTCTGTGGGCAAGGTCCGTGATTGGCAAGTCTTAATGTTTGTGTCAAGGTCGAATACTCGCAGACGGCATGCGTGAACTTACAACTGTTAATAAAAATATTATAATGCATGACATCCGACACTTCATTAAAAGTCTGATTATCAGCAGTTAATTTTCGAAAAGTAAATTTTACAGATTTTAGAAAAGTAAAAATTTCTGCTTCTGAAAATGTGTTCTATCTCAAAGACAATCAATACTTACACTTTTAAAGTATACTTTACAGAATAATTTAACTTTAAAAGTGAATGAAGTTTTTTTTAATTGTAAATACAGCTAACCAGGTTTAGATACATCTGTTATGAAAGAGTTATACAAATTAGTTGATCAAATTTTACATCAAGCATTTACTGTGTTTTTTATTCTCTCCCTTGAGAAACTAATTTATTACTGGTTTTCATAGGTGACGCCGTCCGTACCACATACTTTCTCATCTCCCATTGTCACGTGATGGGTACAGTCCACGAGCAAAAGTTCGAGACAAAGGCGTTTTGTGTAATGAAGGTCAAGGTTGACAATGGCTGCATCAACCTGTCCGGGACTGGGAATATGTACCTCCTCGTGACCATGACTTCTTGGTTTGAGGAATGCCACCGCCATGTTAATGGATGCTGAATGAATCAAAGTACAGAAATACGTGCAGTTGTCTGGCACATGACACAGTTGTTCGTAAAAAGTAGAGTCTATTAAAACTAAGTACAAATACATATGCTGATACGGATGATCTTAGGTTTCCGGCAGGTTGCCTTGATAACAACAACAAAGTAAACGGAATGATTTTTAAAAAAATCGGTTGAATAGCCAAGGTCAAATACCAATGAAACAAAATGACATTCAGGCCGTTCTAAAAATTGCAAAGGAACGTGATTGACTTGTCAGACGCGCACTATTTATGATTTTGGCAGACTCAGCTATTCTTATTGGATTTTAATCCTTTTCACGTTTTGACCTAAATGTTTAAATATGTCTACTTATAACACGATTGCCTGTATGGCTTGTATTGTTTGAAATGTCTGGTTAGTTTCGATATTTTCAATAATTGGCCTTTACTTTGTTACTAATAAATCGATCGTCTTCATACAGTAGCACAACTGCCTTAAGTACAATGTTTTAAAGACAACACACTCAATTTGACCTACCTTGACTGATAAATGACCTTGACCATGAAGGTCAAATGATTGCACTTTTGCAGTTTTTTGCTGTAGTTGGCAATTACATTGTAAGTAATAAATGAACTGTCTTCATATCTGGGAAGAAAAATCCTTTGGACAAGACATTAAAAAAGATTTTATTAAACTTGAACTTGATTTAATTTGACCTTGACAATAAAGGTCACATTAGGGAATTGTACTTGTATGGGTCATAGCTTTCTTGTTTATTGATGGTTTTGATTTGTACTTGAGCAAAAGAACACTGATAACAAAACTGACATATTAAGAAATTGAAATATGGTATTTAAATATAAACGACGTTGCATGAAGGTCAAATTTTGAGTTCAATTAAGATTGTCATAACTTTGTTATCTATTTATGGATTTGATTTATACTTGGACCAAAGATGCCTTGCGATAAGACCCAAATGTTGAATATTCATTTATGACCTTTACTTTTATTTTACATTGACTGCTGTTGTCCAACTATTAAATGTGTCTTTAATTGTCATAACTTTGTTATTTATTACAGATTTGATTTGATTTATACTTGTACAAAAATACAACAACAACACATATGATAAAACTGGCATGTTGAACTATTCTGTCTAAAATTGTCGTAACTTTGTTATTTATTTATTTATTTATTTGTTTGTTTATTTGATTAATTCTTTTACAAGCGGACACTTATGACAAAACTGATATGATTATTAATTCAAATGTGTTCACTGGGGCATGCAGGTCTAGAATTTCATTTTCTCTCTGAAATGCCAAAAGCGCGTTTTTCTCCGTATTTTAGTGCAATATATATGAACCAGGGATTTATTAAAAATACTTTCTTATAGAAAAAGGACCAGACCGCTACACCACTAATCGGACCAGCGAAAAGTGTCGTGGGATCTATTTTGAACTCCTTTTTGTGTGACACAAAACGCTTACTATCTGTATTGTCAGTACCCCGGTATATGTTCTTAGCATATGCCAAGTTCAGTGACCTCTATTTTGGCGAATATATCTTTTATCGCGTTGAACAGAAATGCTTGTGTTTTTTTTCATTTCTCTAAAGCATTTTATTTTTAATGTACATTTTTAGTTCGGTAAAAAAATACCCATTTGCCATTTGTAATTTTATAGGTCCGGAAAAAATACTATTTGGCCAATTACCTGAACCATCTTTGTCATTGGTTACTTTTTGGCAATTTGTACAGTAATAGTGATGTAGGAAGTCAAAATAGTACTTTGTTTACATTTTGTTAATATTGTGTAAATTTGTTTCACAATTTTTGCTACTTTCTTCAAGTTACAAGCATCTAATGCTCTAAAACCATTATTTATCTAAACATTATAAAATTCATGTTTGCATTCACTAAAGAAGTAGAAATGAATTTGCTTCTGAGGCATAATGTGCCTTTAAGAATGTAGTTTGGTGACATGTTAAAGCTGCACGACTCTAGATGAGCCAAAATATTTCAAGAAAATCAATATTGAGAAAAATGTACTAAAATTTTAAGAAAGGTAAAAACATTCAACATCCAAGTTATATTTAAAATGTTATGTGCGGTTTAAGACTGATTTTTACCAGTATTTTATCACCATTATTCTACTGCGTTACCAACGCAGTAAGGTCTGTCTTTGTTTTTGTTGACCCTTTTTTGGAAATGTTCGTGGATTGTAGGTGACGATTATAATAAATAGATTACTTTATGTGTTCACCTAATAATATTAAATGATAAATACATTTCCAAAATTTTCATGAAAATTAACATGAATCTGGAGGCGTGCTGCTTTAATAGATTTACCTCGATAATAGCACGATGATTTCCGTATTGATTTATTATACATCAAGTCTGACAAAAACGCGGTCGGGGATTCAACAACATATTTCATAAAATTTCCACTGACGCTTTTAAAGACAGCATTTATATACCGCCCAGTGAAAGAACCGTCTGCCTTCATTATTTGTTGATGTTTTAAAAGATGGCTTCTAATTATTATTGAGGTTTTCATGATCGTAAGACCTTCAAAGATTAAAAAATTAACCCTCCACTCCCCCAAAAAAGCAAACAAGAGCCAACAAAAAACAAACAAACAAACAACAAAAACAACAAACAAACAGACAGGACAATCATAACATGGACAACAACAACAATAAAATAAACACGCTAAATGTCGCCCTTTTCAAAGTTTCGTCTTTTTGCTTTTAATTTATAGCTTTAGAATATTTTTCGTCTATGATTCCCTCGGGTAAATTTGCTATCAGATCTAGCGCATATTGCCCCAACTAATTATCAGAGAACAACAACAACAACAACAACAACGACAACAGCAACAAAACAACAACCACAACAACAACACCAACACCGTTAACGATAGCAACAAAAACAACAACAACAACAATAACGATAGCAACAAAAACAACAGCAACAGCACATACAAAATAAAACGGTGAGTAATCACCATTGGCATTTAATTTTACTTCCAGTTTCAATTTAATTTTATTCATTATAATGATGAAGTGAGTTACAGATTTCTGGAAAGTTGTACGGTACGGACCTGACGGACAGACCCGCTAAAAGACAGAATTTAAGGTAAAGCTTTGGTGCCATATTGTATAAATACCGATAGTGACATGCTAAATGGAAAGTTATTTTGTACATGTATTATAATTATACAATAAATAACATATATAACGTACAATATATAACGTACAATATATAACATACAAACTATAACGTACAATATATAACTGTGATAACTAACCTAGCGAGAAAAGTAAAAATCCAGTTATATTTAGTATCATTTTATCTATATGACGCCTTAAACCAGATTTGACAATTTCAATGCCTACTTATCTGATTAATCGTAATTGTCGCGCATGCGCACACATACAATTCCTAGGCCAGCCATGACCTATCAATTGCTGTTCTGATTTAGAGAAACTAGAACAGCTTGACATTCTTTTACGGACTTGGCCTGGTCAATTTACGCCTTATTTATTCTTTAGTAAGTCTGCAACATTTAAGTTTAAGTTCTGGACTGCTATTAACCTTTTACCCCGTGAGCATATTGCTAAAAATGGCCGTTTTCATTGAAAAGCCTCCTGTTACAAGTTCAAACTGCTATGAAACTATGAAAAATGCTTCAATACTGATGAAACTTGGCTCAAATGTTGACTAGACCATAGCCTCTGTAACAGCATCCTCAATCGTAAATTTCCTGTTACCTTGGCAACGGGTGGACGTCTCAAAATTGCCAAAAATCACTACTTTGCATGTTTTTATCCATCAAAACTGATTTCAAAGTGCTGCAACTTCTCAATGAATTGAGATAGAGTAAAAGGCTTTTCAGTGTCAGTTACTAGTTACCCTAAGATCGAGCTGAGGCTATTTTTAGCCTGACACAAGTCCAAAATTTTCTTGGCGATGAGGGGGACTCCGCCCCCTTCAAACCCACCAAACAGAAGGGGCACATCCTCCTTCTGGCAACCCCCTGATGTAACATTTGGATGGGGGACGCGCAGAAAAAGTGGTCACTTTTTAAAAAACATTTCTCAAAACGAAAAACAGTGTTTGGGGCCTAAACATGGCATTTTTTCATTGCTTGAGGCCTCAAAAGGGGGAGGCAAAAAGCCGTCGAAACACGCTTATATAACGGAAAGGTTAAACTCAGCAGAAATCTGTATTTCATAACTCTATTGTGAGTCGAAGCCTAAAATACAAACTGTATCCTTATGTTAGCTATCTTAGTTCCACAATATTTTTTTCATTTGTTAAGTCACTGTCAAATTATGGAATCTATGCTGGCGTGTAGTACTTCTCGAATCCTTCCACCAAGAAATGAGATCCTGCAAAATACACCCCCCCCCAAAAAAAAAAATGTACAATGTTACAATAAATACACCTAAAATGTTACCAGTCACATCAAATTGACTTAGAAAATTAAAAAAAAAAAACACGTGTTATATGACGTCATTTCAAGCTATGTTTGTCACAATCATTATTACATGTCTTGAAAAATAAATTGAATCATTTAAGGAAAATATTCATTAATTCCAATCACAATTTGCTGGTTATGAAGTAAAATAAGCACCGTTGTTTCATTGTTGTTTACAATACAAAAAGACATGTTTCATATCATTTGGGATGTCACTACAACTGACTCGATCAGGACGATTCATTGTATTCATTGTATTTTAAATTAGCCAATGAGCTCTAAAATATCTTTATTCTGACATCTGTGATTTTAACAATGTATCCTCCCTGAAAAGTTGTGTTGTTCTGTATCAAGTGCTAGTGACTTGAAAATCGCACTGATACTGTATAGAACATATGATGTTTTTTCCAACAAATTCAGTGGTGAGTTTTAAAGACGTCAGGTGCCGCGTCGTGTTTTCGAGGTACGAGCGGGTTGAACCTGAGAAAAATAACTGCCATTCTGTGAGCTAGGCGGATCGCTATTTCACAATAATCGAAACTGTTGGTGGAAATTGAACCCATGGCGGTGAGGGCTGAGGGTTTAAGTCAGTCACCTTTAGTTTCAGTTTATAGTTTATACAAATTTATTTCAGTTCCATTGTGTTGGAACCTATATGCTTATTGGAACACTCTCGAATCTGTTCGTGGAACAAACCAGTACTAAGCAATGAACAAGGAAACAACGGCTTGCCCCTGACAGGGTTTGAACCCAAGCGGAAAGTTATCCTTTGGTTAATTGTCTGACGCGTTAACTACTTGGCCAAGCCAACTTTACCACTGGGCTACGAAAATCACTTCATAATTCTACCTGTCTTGTGATTGTGACCACCCTGACATTTTGTTGATATAAATTGGTATATAAAAGCATATCTGAGGCATAATGGTCTTTCAAAGAAGTTTCATGTAAGCTATCAATTAGATACAGATAATTATTAATCGTGTACACTCTTTTTTATAGAATCTTAGAATTTATTAAATCTAAGTTCATACTGCGGCCAGCTTGTTATGGTTCTTAAATCTAAGTTCATAATGCAGACATCGTGTTATGGTTATTAAATCTTAGTTCATAATGCAGACAGCTTGTTATGGTTCTTAAATCTTAGTTCATAATGCGGACAGCTTATTATGGTTCTTAAATTTAAGTTTATACTGCGGTCAGCTTGTTATGGTTCTTAAATCTAAGTTCTTACTGCGGCCAGCTTGTTATGGTTCTTAAATCTAAGTTCATACTGCGGCCAGTTTGTTATGGTTCTTAAATCTTAGTTCATAATGCAGACAGCTTGTTATGGTTCTTAAATCTACGTTGTTTTTTTTACTGCGGCCAGCTTGTTATGGTTCTTAAATCTAAGTTGTTTTATACTACGGCAAGCTTATTATGATTCTTAAATCTAAGTTCATAGGGCATACAGCTTTTTTGTTTTTTTTTTTCTGCGGCCAGCTTGTTATGGTTCTTAAATCTAAGTTCATACTGCGGCCAGCTTGTTATGGTTCTTAAATCTACGTTGTATTTTACTGCGGCCAGCTTGTTATGGTTCTTAAATCTAAGCTCATAATGCAGACGGCTTGTTATGGTTCTTCAATCTATGTTGTTTTATACTACGGCAAGCTTATAATGGTTCTTAAATCTATAATCATAATGCGGCAAGCTTGTTATGTTTTTAAAATCTACGTTATTTTATTCTGCGGTCAGCTTGATATGGTTCTTAAATCTAAGTTCATAATACAGACAGCTTATTATGTTTCTTAAATCTACGCTATTTCATAACGCAGATAGCTTGTTATGGTTCTTAAATCTACGTTATTTTTGTACTACAGTCTGCTTATTATTTAATTTATTTCATGATGCCGCAAGCTTGTTATTGTTCTTATATCTATGTTATTTTAAAATGCGGCTAGCTTATTATAGTAATAAAATCAACGTTATTTCATGATGCCGCCAGATTGTCTAAATTATTTCATCATGCAGCCAGCTTGTTATGGTTCTCTTCGGCCAGTTCGATTTCGTTTGATAATTTTAGTCATTTGACAATGCGGCAAGTTTGTTTTGGTTCTTATATCAAGACTCTTTCATAACTTTATTTCTTAATGCGCTCAGGTTGTTGTTTTAGTTAGTTTTGGTTCTTACATCTAGTTCCGTCATGTGGTCAGCTTGTTTGTTTTGGTTCCTATATCAAGGTTATATCATATTTTGTGACAAGCTTCATTTCGGATCTTATATGTATGTGCTTTTGAAAAGTGGCTTGGTCCTTTAATCTAGGTTTATTCATTATGCGGCTAGCTTGTTTAAGTTTTTATTGCTAGGTTATTTCAAAATGCTGCTCGATTGTTAACTTTGGTTGTTATATATAGATTCTTTTATTATGCGGCCAGCGCATATGGTAAGTATATACAATGACGCCAGTTTGTTTGCCATGATCTTTATAAAGAATGTTTTATTATTGGACAAGGCTTTGTTATAACTCAAAGAAGTGTTAAAAGGTATGTCACGGTGAAGAACTGTTCACTTATAAGGGGAGATATTCTGAGGGTCTAGGCTTCGAGTCCGGGTCAGACTGCACATTTTTTCTCACCCTGTGCCATTTGGCGCCCAACTGGGGACCTGGAGGGTTTTAGTCACATTGCTCTGAGAAATTCGAGGACGAATTTCAATATAGCGAGGAGGTATGTCACGGTTCAGAACTGTTCACTAATTAGGAGACATAGTGTGTAAGCGACCTGATAGCTCAGTCTATAGAGCCGCGGTACAGTATCAGAGGGTTCCGAGTTCGAGTCCCCGTCGGGTGCATTTTTATCACCCCTTGGTACTTTCATGGTACCTTCATAATGCGCCAGCATTTAATTTGTTTATATAATTAGTTTTACAATGCAACCAGCTTGTCTTTTTTCTATCCTTTGTGTTCTGTTTCATAATAAAGTCACCTCAACATTTTGAACCTGCACAATACAGCCATTTGAAGTTGTTAAGATATAGAATAAACCTGCCGAGTTCAATCATGTGTGCACTTTAAATTCTGGACTAACCAGTACTGGTGCTACATAATGATTTTTCCCAATAGGACACAACATCCAGGATAAATGTATTATACAGCTACAGACGTCAAGTTTCCTTACAACGAAACTGATTTACGTAAATATGTATTTGTATATGATAACTAAACCATATCAATTTTGTTTCACAATTTCATTTTTATTCAAAATATGAACTTTAATAATTATAATCTTCATGCATGTATAGAACATTAATTTATGAAAAATACGATTACTGTTAAAATATCATACTTGCAATCAGTATTGACAGTATAATTATTATAATATATATAACAAAATGTACATTTCCATATTTATCTCACTTTACTGGATATGTGAAACAGTAAAATATTAATATGTTAATTCTGACATTTTCTAAAACTTGTGAAAAGGTCAAATCTGTTGTTATTATCAGATTGATGAAAATAAGAAATAAAATGATAGCATTCCTTATGTATAATGGGTCTTTAACCAACATTTCATCATCTTTTAAAAAATAATTATCAATGTTCATCATAACATTTCAATGTAAATCTTCAATTAGTTTTACAACAGCCTCTCTTCTATTGCAAATAAGTTGCAATGACCTTGAATGCCCGGGGCATAACTCTGAAACTGTAAGATATATCATCACGAAACTTTATAGATAGACAGATCTCATTGAATAGAAGTGCATTGCAAAAACATAACTCTGCCTTGCCTTATTTTGCAGTTTTTGTCATTTGTTCGTTTTTACACTTTCCCGTGTTCAAAACCCTGTCGGGGAGCATCACCCGGTTCAACCGGTTCTTGTCTTTAAATGAGATTTATCTATCTATGAATTTTCAAGTTCTTAACTTCAACACTTTAAAAATTAACCTCGGAGG